CGTGAGCACAACAATAATGCACGCAATGCTACAGAAGGTGTCATGGCCATTTATTGCCGCTCCTGCAGTCGCACCCCCGTTTGAGAAGACCACTATCATCGGCGGACATTAGGGACCAGTGCACACGCGAAATCATCAAAGCCGCCCATATCGAGCAAGAAGGTTCATTATGCATCAGCATGGCATATGTCTGTTTACCAATGAAATGATTATCGTTTTTAAAAGAGCATGTGTGATCATCTTGTCATACTTAATATTTTTATCACGATTTTTTCATGTTATCTTCATGTTGATTCTGTATACATTTTCCTTTTGTAAGGAATGAAAATTCAGTTGCTAGTCAGCGCTTGTCTGTGACTGTTCTTGTGTCCTTGTGTTGAATTCACGCTGTTCGTACTTCAGAATGCTACAAAAAGCAAAGAACAAAAAAAAAAAAACTTTCTGGCAGCCTCCTATCTCACAAATGTAAGAAACAGTTTTCCTATGGATCCATAAATAGAAAATGAATAAGACATCTGATGGAAACCATTATAAACAAGCCAATCCAACCTGTAGAACAAGTAAAACAAGGTTGAGAGAACCAGCATCATAAAAGGTGTTACTGGTTGGACCAAGTGTCCACTTTGAAAGCAGCATCATGTTGGGCTTTATGTTCATCATGAATTCAGAATTCTGTGTTGACTCTTCATGCTAATAAAAAGGGATCAACTTTCGCTTTATCATAGCAGTGCCCCGCTGTTTCCATAAGTGAGCCACTCGCTCTTGAAGTGAAACATGTTTCGAAGACCTCGACACACAACGTGGTCTAAATAGCTTCTCGGGTAAGGAACAGGGGCAAATGGCCGAGGAGAAAATAACAGAGAAGAAAAAAGAAGCCACGGGAGGAAATGCTGCCGACCCTAAGCAAGGTCAGCCAGCTCTTAGAATACCCTTGAGAATCGCACGGTCAGCGCACGTGGCTAAACTACCGTTCGTTACATCACTAGGAGCGCAGTTGACTCCTCCATTTTACCGATAAGTGGCGATAGAAGCGAGTATCCTTGTATGCAGCACGTAGAAAATCTCTGCAGCCTCGCGGCTGTGCCTCCGCGTTTATTTGCAAGAGGCATCACCAGATAAAACCCCACTCGAGCCGAAATTTAGTGGACATCGCTAGAAATACTACACCTGCGGCGTTGTTTTGTTTCTTCTTTATGGGGCACCGAACGTCTGAGCAGTTGAATCTATGCACAAACTTGACGCTCCAGCGCCCCGAGTCGCACACTAAAGCAGTTCTAGAAAAATCTACCCGCTTGCTCAATCGTTGTGAACGAAGGTGAAAGTGCGCTGCAGCAAATCGAGAACCGCAGCACAGTGCTATAATCCTGAGCCCAACACGAAGCAAATCCGTCTCTTTCTCGATTCCTTTTTTAGTGCCCTTTAAACAGCTACTGACATAGTTTGATTAACCGATTGCGGTTGCATTTTCTTTCTTAACCAATGTGTTCAACCCCTCCCAGGCACGAGTTTATTAAACTACCGCACGCAGGTTGCAATATAGGGCGAGTTTCGTATTGCCCCATATGACTTTCCGAAGACCGCGCAAGACAAATAATGGGAGGGCGAGAAAATATGAAAGAATACCCTCCAAAGGTGACCGTTCCGCTGACGGAATCTTCCTCAGATCGCTCCGGCTCCGCTAGTTCGATTTCGGCTACCTTCGCAGGTGTACAGCACAGTAACGAACTCAAAAAGATGCTCTTATGTGGCCGCTATTGAGACATCTCCTCGCTCCGCCTCGCACAATCGGTGAAGTACTAAAGTTAAAACGTAGACGAGAAAAGTCCACCGCCGCGCGCATAAACACAATCCGCTAAACGAAAGATACGTTCTCAGACACCCTGCTCGCGCTGCTGGAGCCGCCCACAATATCGTGGTGGACAGCCAGGTCAGGCGTCGAATGTAGTCCGCAGTCGTTGCTTCCACGAGTCAGAGACGGGAAAAATGTCGCGAGTATCCATCGCGGCGACATGCAGGATTCCGGCACATTGCTAGGTACTTATACCCCCTCCCTCTCACAACGTGAATGGTAGCAGTACGCGCGCTGCACCCGCGCTATCCATTCCGCCGAAGACGATCTCGATTACATGGTCCTCACGGAAGTTTTGGAACGCATTTGGACAACTAATAAATGCCCTCGAGTGCGTAAAATCGCAATTCCTTAGGCCTAATGGCGATGTTACAAAGCAGAATACGGTTGCTTCGGGTATTTAATGTATGCCCGTTGCTTCCGTCGATGCCGCCAATGCGCTTTTGCCGACAATTGGGAGCACAAAGGGACAATCGACAAACGGAAACTGAAAAGTACATGGCTAATAACTTACCTGCAAGCACGACCGGCGATGATGTTCTTGCAGCTGTTCCGAAAACAAGGAGATTTTGTTTGACGGCAAGCTCTAAGAGCTCAAGATGGCGATAGGCAGATCACTCACATTAGCGATGAAAACACTGCACCGCTGTACCGGCACCTGTCAGCGCATTTTCCGTGCCGTTCTCGGCCCAGTACTCGGCGATTTCGAGAAATATCATGAAGACGGTGCCAAGTCTGTCACATGAGCATCGTTCACGCATTCATAACTATTAAGCCTACGCTGGCGAACAACTTTTGTGTACATTTCGTGACGTCACATGTCGTCTGTCACAAACCATTAATGAGTTCATTGGAAGCGCCCTAAACACGCAAAGTAATGCAATATGAGCTGTTTATTTTTTCTCTCTGGAGTCCGTCGGACTTTACATTGGCTCTAGAAGAGCGAATGGGCGCGTTTGTTTCTCTGAATATTCAAATATTCGCACGGATTTCTTCCGCGCAACGCAGTGCGTTGCGTGGTGAGACGTGCTGCGCGCACTAACAAAATCATGATTTGCGGTTGGTTATCAGCGTGTAGTTCACACTGAGCGAATAACGACATGGTAACCAGACTGTTTACGACGCTCCACAAAGCTAAAATGGCGCGCTATATTACCCTTGTCGTTGACTGTTTATAAAATGGCATCAAGTACATGTGTCCAGCGTGTTGACGTACGTTACGCACTCCGATACTTTCCTTCGAAGCTGTTTGAAATATTTGCACAATAATTTTTTTCATAGCAGTTTCTATCATTCTGTCGTGGCAATAAGGAACAAGCAGCAACACACGCGTGCACGAGGCAACGTAAAGGCTCCACCGTTCACACAGGAGTCGCAGGCACATGATTAAAAAAGTAATAATAAGAAAAACGTCACAACAGCTAGTATCCTCTGCTTCATTGAGATAACATGGACAGGGCAAACATATTCTAGGTTGAATCTGCAAGAAATGATATCGTGCAGCCCGTTGTACTAATTGTAAAAAAATTGTGTAAGCTCGAAATATGCAATTATTTTACTTTGCTGACTGAACACAATCTGCCTAACATTTCACATAAGAGGATCTCTCTTAAGTCAAATATTTGTTACTTAGTGAAGATCAACTTTTAAATACCTGAAGGCTGTCTAGTAAAGATTTATGCATGCTAATAAACAAATACTTCTCATTCAAACGATGGGCCGATAATCCTTCAATGCTTTGCAAATGTACATATGCGTACTTATATAAAATAATTTACGAAATGGCTAATGCACATTTAATTGATGGCTTCATCAACACTGTGTAAGTATCTTGCCTGACCCGACAACACTCGAATCACAAAAAAAAGCAGACGGGGCTTGCACTGAACCAAAAAGCAACAAGCCCTTGATGTCACCCGTGTCCACAAGTTGACAAATTTCTCATCTTGAACTATTTTTCGATTCGGCATTCATGAAGTTCATTCTGATTCGGTACATTCTTAAACGTAGTTGAATTTGTGCTGGTCCAGAAGAGAGTTACCATTTATAAATGTTTCACCGAGCAATATCACCTCAACTGATGGCTACAACTTTAGAGATAAAAAATACAAGCGTTAAATTTTTGAGCATTTAGGAGCTATGTAAATTATCTTTCATTAACCCACAATCACTTTTAAGTGCATGAGTTGTAGCAGTGTTGCTTGCATTGATCTGATAGGAACATGAAGAAAAGCTGGCAGCAACTTACACATTTATTCTCCAGAGGCTGCGAAATTTTCTGAATACTTCTCATCACCCATAATGGGAATAAAGAATGTTAATAAAGCTTAATTTTCAAAGTCGCATGCATACAAATATTGTGTATTGAGGAGTTATACTTGCACAACAATAAACATTCCAGAGAAAAAAATGATTTGCTCGGTAAAAATGCTCCATCAGCCAATTGGTATTCATTAGCATCAAGTAAAACAGCATAATAACGGTGAATTCAGTGAAAAATTCAGCTGACAGAGAAGAATGCGGGCTTGCAAATATGTTCAAACAAGCACATCGAGCCTATAAAAGCTGCAGCCACAAAAAGGAAAAAAAAAAAAAAAAACTCATTTCATGACTGTGTCAACCTTGAGCACACAAGCCTGCTTTCTGGTGGTAGTTAAATCAAGAAAGGCAGTTTGACTTAGAGCCACACTGTTCAGATGGCATTTAATCGTGCACACTTTTGAAAAGCTAAAAGTCTGTGCTTGTTTACATCATTTTACTTGCAGTACATAGAGCAGATAATTTTAAGCAATTAAAAGAAAGTTAATTAGCAAGGACAGATGGGAATCACTAAAGCCATGTGACCACATTTTTGGTTTACGTAGCTATGCCTAGGACAAAAAAAAAAAAACCAAATGAAACATCCAAATACCTACAGTAATATACAAACACTTCTTGGTTTCGTTGACAAGTCCTTTCAACAATTTCTTGATACAAATAAAATAAGCTGTAATAGTTTGTGCTCTAATGCTATTCTTTAAGTAGTTAAAAACATCCGAAAACTTTCTCTTTTTGACTGAACTAAGTAGTATAGTAAGTATAGTACTAGAATAAATTTTATATTACCACTTACTTTGTAAAAGAAGGAATAAAAGCAGCAATACAAAGACATACCTTGTTCCAAATGATAGGGTATTTTTATTTTCACATTTTCATCACAATTTTTTCTGCTCACATAAGCAAAACACAAGTATTAATGAATAACAATTGTGAGCGAAATTCCTTCACTCAAATGATAACATTAAGATCCTCTCTATTCTTTCTTGAGATGCATAAACACCTGTCGTCATAATGCACAATTGTGATAACAATGAGATGATTAAAATTAAAGTTTAAAAAGTCACCACAACAGGATTCTGATGGATTCTTCAATGCACAAGCCTATCATGATTGCTTTCATTCTGAAAAAGAAAAAAAATTAACAATGGTTAGACACAACTATGTGGGAGCCAATGAAAACTGCACAAAACGAAGCCTCGTGCATCACCAACAACAGAGAAAAAGACATGGCGGGTAGTGAGAGCAGTACGGACTATAGCGCCTCGTACTGCTGTCAATACGAAATACTCAAGTCTTCTACAAAAGGAAGACAACTTCGACTGTCACCGGCGCGTGTCAATATATTACAAACAGAGCGTTGCGTTAAGCGATGACTACAGCATGTCACAGTCTAGCCTCCTTAAAGTGCTCTGCACTAAATATAAGAATGATGTTACTTGAAATAAGAAGCAGGCAGTTGGGTTCAACAATACTGACTTGCCTTCTTCCAACCTTTTCTTTTTTTTTTCGCATGCATGTGTATGTGAGTATGAGTGAGCATGTGTACATTTTACTGAATCGACTTCTGCCGACTTTTCACCCCCTCCTATAGGTTAGAGAAGGAACGGTGAAACCCCAAAATAATTAGAAACACTACAATTTCAACTGAGGTTTCAGAAACATGTGGCAAGGTTTATTTCGTCAAACTATCGCTGCACGGCTGAAGTGCTACCTAGACTAACTTGACTACACTTTCACAGCAAAGAAATGTATAAAGACCCAAACTCCTCCATGGGCAGCTATTGGTGAGGCATATGCTAAAAATACGCGAATAAAAAAAATGCTTGGTTCTATTATATTGAGTAATATTGATCAAATCGCAGCTGCATCCTAGGACAGATGCCTCGAAGTTTTCTCTGCTTTCGAGAACAATAGGAAAGTTCAACAGGAAGTTGAGCAGTGCACTTCATTTGGCTGCTTGAAGCATAGCAGACGAAGAGTAAAACAGCGTGATGAAGACACATCAGTGCCATGCCTTTATCTCATCCTTTCGTAAGTGTTGTTTTTTACTTCATCGATACGACTGTCGACCACTGCTCAACGCCAATACGTAGAAAAGATGTGCTGACACACTGTGCTGCAAGTGAAACATTACCCTCGAACTGAGCAAAACAATACACACTGTTTTTTTAGTGTTTCCTTAGCAATGCTATTAGCATTGTTTCACAGTTTTCTTTTAATGCGAAATGCGAGAAGTTTATATTACCTACAGAATTTTTATGTGGCTTTTTATGTTTGCGTGTCAAATGTTACACAATAATCTTCCATTGTGCTGCTACATTTGTCCTATCCCAATGTTAGTAGCTAAGTATCAAAGTAAGTTTATATGTGTTCTTCCATTGTGTATCGACTTTTTGGCAAGCAGTATCAGTAAATAAACAATAAATAAATAGTTAAAGGCCAGCTACCATGAAATGTTGCTTTGGCAAATTTTCTTATTCAAGTATTAGAGGACTCAAGTAATATTGGAACAATTGCAGAGCTGTTAACTTTGCAGGCTTTATTCAGCACTTATGCATACAACTCATGCATTTCGGTGGTTGTCACTATGACGTAAGACCAAGTGCACCACATCTGAGAAGCTGCAGCAGTTGTCACCTTATCTCAGAGGCCATTCCAAGGTGCTGCATGTTACAGCTAATGAGTAATTTTTTGAATTACGTGCAATGAAACCATCTGTTACTTCTTTCCAGTCTCGGTGTCAAAAACAGCCATTTTTACCAGCTCTTCACAATGCTGGTGAGTGTATTTTAATGGGCATGATTTGCACATGGGCTTTTCTTAATCTACATTATTTTGAACTATAATTGGATACAACGTATGGAGTGTAAAGAGGTCTCGCCCAGGTGAGTGAAGCGCAGCAGCCAATAATTGATTTTGCGACTACAGAAACATTCAAGGACTCAATAATGTTCTCCAAGGGCGGGGTTACCAGCTGTTCGGCTCGTGATGTCAGTCTAGGGTGCATGCCAATTGGAGGCAGGCTTGTCTGCCTCTGACGAGGAAATGTCGCAGACTTTTAAAGATGCATCTGACTACAGGCATTTTATGCAGCCCACAATCTTGCCACAGATTACTCTTGAATGAAAACTCAACTCAAGAAAGTAAGTTGAAATAAAAGTAGTTTTATAAAAGTAGCTTTAAAAAGCACTCTGCAATTGCTTCAACATAATACTTAAACAATCAAGGATGCATCCACCAACCCGTGCTGCAGCTTTTGGCAACACCATTTTTACGGGAAACAGTTACAAAGCTACCAAGCACCTTCACTACTGAATAGAATACACGAATTTTACGACGAATTAATGCAAGTGTCAAATGAATCATTCAAAACATTGCTCATTTCGCAGAATATTGAGTTTGTCTGACAAAGCTGCTGTGTATATTTTCAACTTTCGTATCTTAATTGCAAATTTTAGTTGTTGACTGGGGCAAAATGATCTATCAGTATATTATGTAGCATTCTTTTTGTTGGTTCTTAGCAGACATAACATTTTTCTCGCTTTTCTACTTTTTTGTACACATGTTTTATTTTCGTGACTATTCAGTTGAATATGTATGTATAGTATATTTTGTATTGACTTGTGCTATGTACAGCATGCGTGCCGCACTCTCGTAGGAGCAGCAGCCTCTGTCAGGCCACACGGCCTTTAGCTTCTGCTTCCTTTCTATTGTAAACAGAAAAAATCAAGTCAATTTAATTCAATTCAAATGCTTGTATGCAAAATAAAGAAGTGACAGCTACACTACACCAGGAGGTTGTTCAATCACTGTAGCCACAGCAAATGCTTTCGAAAAGACAGCTCAGCCAAAATGTGAGGCACAGAGTTGGGTCAAACTTGCAGTGTTTTGATACGTCACCTGTTGTATCACTAGGCTTTTATCACTTAGCTCTTCCCCTGTGAGAACGCTTGCGAGGAGAGGCCTTTTCAGGACGTCTCAGCATGTCTTTCACGTGGCCAACTGGGGAGGAGCTAGCATAGCCGCTTTCTGAAGCAGTCAACTGCATTGTTGGCCAGCACGAGCCCAGTGAACATGAAATAGAGAATGAAAGCGCAATACACTTAAAACACCATTGGCAGACCTCTGTACTGCTTTGTGGTCGCGACTAATATTTAGACGTGAACTGCATTCAGTGTCGCCATTATGCTATGGCTCTCGTGTGAATCAATCTCTCTCTTGTAAATATGAAAATGTGAGTATAAATGCAGGTACCTTAACGCATCTTCACTAAGCAAAATATAGACCCGCTGCGGTGGTCTAGTGGCTAAGGTACTCGGCTGCTGACCCGCAGGTCGCGGGTTCGATTCCCGGCTGCGGCGGCTGCATTTCCGATGGAGGCGGAAATGTTGTAGGCCCGTGTGCTCAGATTTGGGTGCACGTTAAAGAACCCCAGGTGGTCTAAATTTCCGGAGCCCTCTACTACGGCATCTCTCATAATCATATCATGGTTTTTGGAAGTCAAACACCACTTATAAATCTAAATATAGGGAGCAAACAAAAAACAATCAACCAAATTTTGCACAAATGTCAACTCTCAAAGTAATCAACCCAAAACTAATGCAGAGCAACTCAGAGAAACCAGAGTACTAATTGAGGAGTGCCCATTTATACTTCTTGAGACAAAATGGCATACAAAATGACACACAAAATGGCCTTATGAAATGGCATATTTGCCAGACACTAAACTTCCGATATTTATGAGATCCCACTTAAAAAAACAACTTGACTGGTCGGGGAAAAGACAGCACAACTTAGGTATTTTCAGAGTGGCCTAGGCACACACCTTTTCTGGGTTCCTACACTGTAAATCTGGAAACACCAGCTCCTTTTAACTGCCCAGTAGGTTTTGGAAAGAGACAACCAATTGCACGTGGCTGTTGGTGTAGCCAATTGATGATGCTACACTGTCAATTTGTTGTCACAGTTCTTTGCCATATAACAATTCAAAAGCTAATATGCGTGATCCAAAGAAAAATAAACATGATCAGTATTTGTAAGAGCCAGCATGACACAGTACTTGGGCACCTTCCAGCAGAGTGCTCCTGTGCTCCAGACACGTTTGTATATTTCAGATGATGGAATGATTAGTTTCAAACAGTGGGATCATCATTAGTCCTGCACAGTGTTAGAATATATGTCTAAATTGCCCCCTTTTATAAGCAACGCACTTTTAGAAAGCAATTTCCAAGTGACTCTTGACAATAAGTATTCATTGCACAGACCGAAGAGAAAGCACACTGTCTTATTGTTGCGATAAGAAATATATCAGCTGCCAAAGAATTGAATAAAGGTTTAATGGTTGAGAAAAACAAACTCTCAATGCATAACAAAGACGGCAGTAGAAATAGTTGCCAGTTGTTAAAATGTAATCTACTTCAAAATTCCTAGCAAACGCCCATCTCTGCAGCGAAAGATGATACGACTAGATTTGGAAAGGACGCTTGCTCGATCGCACATCAAAATTCAAGATGGTGGAGGAAGAGACACTTAGAACAAATATATGTGCACAAGTGCTTCTAATAAAATACTTCATTGAACGTATTTATTTACCCTCTTCAGATAAATGAAAAGAGTGAATGTAAGAAAAAAAATAGCGTGAGGGATTGGGGGGTGTACCTTCTCAGTCATTCACGCATATTTCAAATCTTCTGAAAAGGAGTGTGAGTGGTTGCTCAATATTTTACACTATGTCAGCTCTTTCTGTCACCTTTGACACACAATTCGTTGGAATTTTAAAGAATTAAAAGGATTGTTTGTTACTCCTAACTACTGCAGCAGTTTGGGAATGTTCTAATCTGTTTTTGAAGAGAACTAAATGTGCAAGAAAAAATGAAAAAAAAAAGCACACATACACCAGTATATGTAAATATGTATGCCTTTTTTCATGAGTGCCTTTCGTGCACTTCTAGTTCTTTCCAAGTATTCTTAATTTCAGAGACTCTGTATTTGTGTACACAACATGTTTTAGGGGCGAAGCTCCTTAAGGTGTGCGTCTGTACATCCTCTGAGGTATGTAGTTGTAGAAGAAGTAGGTAGCCATAGGTAGCCATCTCTAATTTAGTTCTTGCAGTGTTCACTAGATGGTGGTAGTGATGCGAGATATTATAAAACTAGATGGCGGTACTCAGAGATGTTCACTATAGTCAATGACAAGCTAAGAATACAAAGTAAAGTGTACCGCCGGTCCATTCGTATGATGCGCGTCCAACTGCAGCCTCTTTTTCTATGGCGTAACAATCATGATAACCAATGACAAATTCAGCATGGCGCCATTCCCGACGAGACGCGATGTGCCGCTGCACCGAGACTGGGAGGCGTCCATTCGGTTTCCTGGTGGTGTTTACTTCGTCAAGAAGCTATTTCAATGACTCGCACTTCAGCATCATCCTCGCTGGCCGTCATTCGATGGCGACGTTTCTGATTTTAGTGTTTGAAGTGTACAGAAGCGGCAGAGCTTCATCGCGTTCCATCATTTCGGCAGCGTGAAGCAGCAACTCAGCATCTACTTCATCAGCCGCTCGCATGCACCAAGCATATTGCCCGAGGGTGATCACTCCCGCAATTGTCGTCGCGGTCATTTGTGTGCAGTAAGGCAAAAGTAAAGTCTGAATTGGAGCGTCTGTGTTTTGTGGAATGCGAGCGTCTGTGATTTATAGCCCGCAAAAGTTGTGGCATCAGCGCAGCCACATGTGTGTGAGTGTGTTACTTGGGTGTCGCAACGTGGGAACCTTAGTGATCTTCTGCGATATGCGCTGTGCTGTGCACCGATATGAGTGATCTAAGTGCGGACAAGGCGTGAGAAAAAAGCGTCCAACAGAATCTGCTATGCGACACAGTATGAAAGTAAACAAACCAGGAGGGGAAAATATGCAATGTTCTATGCATTATAAAGCGAATTGTGGTCATCCAGTGGGTGTGTGATTAATTATGTGCCATGTTAAAGTGTCCATTGTAAGTGCTTGTCTCACTCTCTATGCACAGATGCAGTGCATGAAAAACAACGTGCGAGCTTCTTCAAACCGCGCAATGACACACGCTATTTAATATAGCTGAATCTATCGTTATTGGTGCAGCAATAATGATCAATTACTATCAGTTGCATCGATTGTGATTATTACAAAGGTGACACTACTAAAACTATTATTGAGCAAAAAAAAAAAGAAAGATATAATTTTTTAAGGTGTACGATACTTAATGATATATTATAAGGTCCTAGCTTTATCTAACATTTTTTTTTTTTGCATTTCACGTGTATTTTGTGCACGTATTACACAGTGATAACTTGTTTACATTAAACTAGAGTCCCGTGAAAGAAAACAGTGAAGGATGCATCGCACTCCCCTGTGAAAGCAAAGTCTGGTACGCAATTAACTCCCATTCACTGGAGAGATAAAACCCTCTAGCCAGCACAGACACCTTCGTACCAACACATTCATAGCAGGTAGTGGCCCCTGTTCCAGCAAAACTGGGTCGCGTTATGAAAACATTGAATATTCAAGGGACTGATGGGGTCATAGCAAACTATCGAGTGTAAGTTGTAAAAGCAAGAATATAAAAGTTTACATACAGCTTTTAGTCACCGCCATTTAGCCACGTACATCGCCTTGTATGCAATGACTACCACTGTTAAATACAACGTGCGCTACGCATTTTTATTTCGATGAAAAAAGACATTGAATGAAGTATTGGCGTTTGCCTCAAACAGCAATGGCAAGCACCGAAACTCGAGACGCACATTCGGTATTTACAGCAGCACTAAGAATCAAAATTCACGACGTCCAATCTCAGATCACTTCTCCATTCTTTGCTTTGAGTCATAGTTGCCATAGTTACAGCAGATAGCGAGAACTTCTGGTAGCAAAAGTTTCAAAAAACATGAAAATAGCAAACGACCTTATAAAATTTCATTTATGCCCCTGTATCGTTTTTTTTTTCAAAGCAATAAAGAAGGATTGTTTTCTTTTAAACTTAACTTCACCTGTGGCATCGTTTGTTTGAGTACCACTACAGGTACCACGCAGACACGTCGCCTTCGAGAGATGTACACTACTTCTTTGTGGACTCCTAGATGAGCGCGGTAGAGGGTGCGATTTAAACAACAGATATATTGCTAAGCTGATGCTGAACTCTGTGCCCTCACAAGTTTTCTTAACGAGGTTTGGTTTCCTTATCTCAATATAAATGAAGGATTACAAAATAATGGTTGTATGCAGGAAAATTATTGCCCTTGTTTGGGAACTACTACTTATGTAGCGAGGAGGCATGGAAAATAAGGGCTCTCCTCCCAAGCTACACCAAAACTCCCCCCCCCCCCCCCCCAGTCATGGTGCAACGGGGGTTTGCAGCACCTAATACAAAAAATACTGCAGATTTTAGGACCGGAGCTCCTTAAAGCGTAGTCTTGTCCGGCGTCGTAGTTGCAATGGCATTGTGCCACTCACACCGCTAATACTCGGCTTGCTCACTAAATGATGTTGCGGCACTCGCTCCACTTTGATGCGTAGTCTAGTGTGATAGGAGATCGCTAGAGGCGCAGCTGAAAAGTGTGTTCGCTCTTGGCACCCTTTCTTTTTTGCCAGCAGTCTGGGTGTTTCGCGTACGAGCGAAGAAGTCGGCGGAGAGGAGGGCTCGGAAAGCGGCTACTGCATGCGGCACATGCTGCAGTGAGAGCCCGCAAAGCCGAAGCTGCACGGAAGCGCCAGCAAGAGGCATGGGCTCTCATCCTTAGCTGAGAGCCCATGAAGCGGCGATGAAATGAGCACAGTGTTTTCCACATCTTCACATGACTATCGACTGGCAAGATTTATGAAGGCATTATGGTTTGCCGATGTGCCTTCAGAACTGCGCCCACTCATTATCATTCACTCCGTGAATATGCTGCGATTTTTTTTTTTCACCTGTTTGAGTCTGCCTTTCACTGTACCTTTCTGTCCTGTTTAAAACAAAACTGAAATGGCATGCAAGATTATTGTTCTTCCTCTGCATTTTAAAAAGACTTACTTCTCGGAATGGCGGATCACTACACAGACCGAACTGTGTGCAAACGTCCCTTACAACAACTTTTATGGAAGCCTAGCATTGAGCAGTTCATATACTTTTCTACATTGTAATATAGGCAAGACTTGCATATAAAATTACATGGCATTATTCTTGCAGGCTGCACAAAAGGCACATAAAGCTGTTCACCTTTGCTGGCAATCTATGCACTACAACTCGAACCTAAAGTTCATGCCAGCTTTAAAAAGGCACAAGTACCAGCATGGACAAACAACAAAAGCCCCCACATGAACTATAAGAAACCTAGCAAAATGAACGGATGGAATACAATGCCACTTGCCAGTGTTGGTGCCGTTTTCATGGGTGAACTGGTAGCTGGCACTAAATGTGTCCCAGAAGTGGTGGTTGAAGGCCTAGAGGTAGAAGGCGGTAGTTCTGCTTCAGGGCTGTACGTAACTGCTGAGACTTCTGGAGAGAAATTGCTGGGGCAGAAACCCTCGTCACTAGCAGTTGAAAAATTTTTGTTTTCTGCAATGTATCGAAGTGCCTTTGAGAATTCACTAGACAGCCTACCACGTGGCAAATTCCGAGAGACTCCACGTATTTCTTCATCTAATGAAAGCTCCAAAGTTTCCTCTTCAAAGTGTGGGCCAACAGACAAGCATACACTGGATTTATTAAATTTTCCGGACACTTCCTTTGCATTTAGGCCTCTGCAGATTGCACATGTAATGGATAAATCCTTTTCAGATGGCATTTCAACATGGACAGTGGCAACAGCACCTAAATGTTTACGATTTGGCAAAGTGACACCAAATATGAACACAGGCTTTTCTGGCTCTGGGTGTTTACTAGAAAGCTCACTGGCATGATCATCATCCTTGCATGAAACCGAAGCCTGTTCACTATTGTCTGGTATTACTTTTGCCGTACCATTCCTCTCACTATTTTCACCTGAGGAGAAAAACGAGGAGGCCGCATTCAGGGGTAGCTGAGACATTGGAGTATTTGAGCCAGTTGACACTTTTTCTTTAGGAAGTTCATTTCCTGGGTGTTCTCTGGAAAGAATGCTTGCATCATAATGATTATCATTGCTCGATGAAATCAAAGTTCGGCCATTCGCAGTCGATGCGGCATCTTTTTCACCATTCTTCTCAATTGAGAAAGGTAAAGAGTTTATCACGGGGGTCAGTGGTGGCTGACAAGCTGCTGTGTACACATCAGTCAACGATTTTCCTCTCACCAGTTCTCGCTCCAGCTGCGTACTGGAAAGTTTGCCGACATCATCATTGCTAGATTTAATCCAGGTCGACGTATCTGCAGCTTTTTTATCATCCTCCTCAACTGAGACAAAAGGTAAGGATAGTCTGTGATTGGGTTGGTCAATGGTGACTGACATGCAGCTGTGTCTAGGCCAGTAAACAATTTCTCTCTAAAATGATCTTGCTCTGACTGCATGCTGGAAACCTTGCCGACATCATCATCGCTCGATGACATTGATGTTGCGCAATCTGCAGCTGACACTGCTTCTTTCATAACATTCTTTGCAATCGGGAAGAAAGTTGAGAAGTCTGCGATTGGGCTGGTCAATGGTGGCTGACACGCTGCTGTGTCTGGGCTAGTCAAGACTTTTTCTCTTGGAAGTTCTCCGTCTAGTCGAGTATAGAAAAGATTGCTGGCATCATCATTGCTGGAGGAAATCGAAGTAAAGCCATTTGTAGCTGGTATTGCTTCTTCTCACCATTCTTCTCAACAGAGAAAGGAAAAGAGTCTGTCCCAGGGCTGATCACTGCTGGCTGACACGCTGCTGTGTCCAGGCCATCATTGATTTTTCTCTAGGAGTTTTGCTTTTTTTGCATACTGAAAAACTGGCCAACATCCTTGCTGGATGAATTGAAGTCGAGTCATCTGCAACTGACACTGCTTCATCAATAACATCTTTTTCACTTGTGAAGCAAGCTGAGGAGTCTGTGATTGAACTGGCCAATGGTGGCTGACATGCTGTGTCTAGACCAGTCAATTTCTGTATCAAACATTCTAGCTCTGGCTGCGTATCGGAAAGCTTGCCAACATCATCATTGTGTGATGACATTGATATTGAGCATCTGAAGTCGAGCCGTTTTCAGTTGCTATTGATCTTTCTTCACCCATCTTCTTAACTGAAGAAATAGGTAAGGAGTCTGTCACACTGCTGGTCACTTGCGGCTGACACGCTGCTGTGTCTCGTCTGGTCAACAACTTTTCTCTTGAAGGTTCTCGCTCTGGAAACATAGTGCGAATTTTGCCAACATCATCATTGCTGGTTAAAATTAATGTTGAGTCACCTACAGCTGATACTTCTATAGTATCCTTCATAATTGAGGAGAAAAGTGAGAAGTCTGTGACTGGGCTGTTTGATGATGCCTGACATGCTGCTGCATCTAGGCCAGACAAGGATTTTTCTCTTGGAAGTTCTTGCTCAGGCGGAGTACTGGAAAGATTGCGGGCATCATCACCATTATTACTTGAAGAAATTGAACTCAAACCACCTGTAGCTGGTATTGCTTTCTCCTCACCATTCTTTTCAACTGAAAAAAGAGAAGAGTCTGTCACAGAGCTGGGTCCTGGTGGTTGACATGCTGCTGCATTTAGGCCAGACAAGGATTTTTCTCTTGGAAGTTCTGGCTCAGGCGGAGTACTGGAAAGATTGCGGGCATCATCACCATCATTGCTTCTCAAGCCATCTGTAGCTGGTATTGCTTTCTCCTCACCATTCTGCTCAACTGAGAAAAGAGAAGAGTCTGTCACAGAGCTGGGTCCTGGTGGTTGACACGCTGCTGTATCAGGGCCAGTCAATACTTTTTCTCTTCGAAGTTCTCGCTCTAGCGGAGTACTGGAAAGATTGCGGGCATCATTACAATCATTGCTTGATGTAATTGAACTCAAGCCATCTGTACCTAACATTACTTTTTCCTCAGCACTATTCTCAACCGAGAAAAGAGAAGAGTCTGTTACAGAGCTGGGTACTGGTGGCTGACATGCTGCTGTGTCTAGGCCAGTCAATAATTTTTCTCTAGAAAGTATTTGTTTTTTCTGCGTACTGGAAAGCTTGCCAACATCATTGCTGGATAAAATCAAGGTTGAGCCATCTTTAGCTGCTATTGATCTTTTTTCACCATTGTTCTCAATTGAAGAGACCGGTAAGGAGTCTGTCACAGGGCTGGTCACTTGTGGCTGACATGCTGCTGTGTCTGGGCCAGTCAAGACTTTTTCTTTTGGAAGTTCTCGCTTTAGCCGACTACTGTAAAGATTGCTGGCATTAACATCATCATTGCTACACCAAATCGAAGTTGAGCCTTCTGTAGCTCGTTTTGCTTCTTCCTCACCATTTTTGTCAGTTGAGAAGAAAGACAAAGAGTCTGTCACAGGGCTGGTTAATGGTGGCTGACACGCTGCTGTGCCTGGGCCAGTCAGCACTTTTTCACTAAGAAGGTCTCGCTCTGGCTGCATAGTGGAAATCTTGCCAATTTCATCATTGCTGGATGAAATTGTTTTTGTGTCATCTGCAGCTGATACTGCTTCTTTTTCACCGTTAACTAACAAGAAAGGTGAGGAGTCTGTGACTGAGCTGTGCAATGGTGGCTGATATGTCACTGTGTATGAGCCAATTGACACTTCTTGTGTTGGAAACCGTTGCTCTAGCTTTGCACAGGAAAGCTTGCCTGCAGAATCATCATTTCTAAATGAAACAGAAGGCAGGCTGTCTGCAGCTCGTACCGATTTTTTCACAGCATTCTTCTCACATAAAGAAACTGGCAAAGAACCTGCAACTTGAGATAACTGTGATGATGCTGTGTCTAGGCCGGTTGACGACTTTTGTTTGTGAAGCTCTGGCTCTCGACGTGCAGTGGAAAGCATGTTGGATGGTGCTGATGTCACAGCATTATCAGATGGTAGCGCTTCTGCACTATTCTTCTCACTAGAGGACAAAGGCGGGGAGCCTTCAAATGAGCTGGGCAATGGTGGCTCACACTTTGCTATCTCCAAGCCAATTGATGCTTTCAAGCCTATGAAAGTTGCTGAAGACTGTGATACTGCCATATCAGTTGATGCACTTCGTGACGATAATGGTGAGTCTACTGTAGATGTCTCCTTGGAGTTTGTTCTGGGTTCAACGGAAGTTGCCAGCTCCATTGCCTTAGCAGTTGCTGCCCTAAATAGTAATGGCAAGTCTACTGTAGATGTCTCCTTGGTGTCTGTTCTGGGTTCAATAGAAGTTGCCACATCCGTTGCCATAGCAGTTGCTGCCCTAAATAGTAATGGCAAGTCTACTGTAGATGTCTCCTCGGTGTCTGTTCTGGGTTCAATAGAAGTTGCCACATTTGTTGCCGTAGCAGTTGCTGCCCTAAATAGTAATGGCAAGTCTACTGTAGATGTCTTCTTGGTGTCTGTTCTGGGTTCAACGGAAGTTGCCAGCTGCATTGCCTTAGCAGTTGCTACTCCAGATGGTAATGGCAAGTTTACTGTAGATGTCTCCTTGGTGTCTGTTCTGGGTTCAATAGAAGTTACCACGTCCGTTGCCATAGTAGTTGCTGCACTAGATGGTAATGGCAAGTCTACAACAGATGTCCCCTTGGTGTCTGTTCTCGGCCCAACAGAAGTTGCCAGCTCATTTGTCATAACAGTTGTTGCAATAGATGATGACGACGAGTCTACTGTAGACGTGCCCTTGGTGTCTGTCCTGGGTCCAATGGAAGTTACCAGCTCCCCCCCTTCCCTTCTGGACATGGCACTGGTGGTATTTGCTGGCACATAAAACTCAAACGTTTGAGAAGTGTGCAATGTTGCAGCTGGCACTGCTGCACCATCAAGATGCATGGACACAGCTGGCATTGATGATTCCTTGTAGTCCTGCATAGGAGGCAGTACAGTAGCTAGTGCAAAGGCCGATGCAAGGCCTGGTGCAGGGGCTGGAGTTTGTGGTTCTGCATTATGACGAAAGGCCAATGTTTGGCCCACATTCCCAGTTGCAGAGTCAGATGGAGCACTGCTGGCAAACGATGTAGACGGAGGTGGATGGCTAACATGATGTGCAACCTGAGGCAAGGAAGAAAAAAATGGAAAAGAAGTGTTGAACTGTACTCTGCTTCAAGTGTGAGTGCCACAAGTGCACACCAGCACCATCTCAAAATTAATCTATCTTGACAGTACTCAGACTGAAGATGCGGTAATCAAGGACACTGCTCAACAACATGCAGCAGCATGCACTATCAGTATGTACGACTGAAAATACAAAGGACTCTAAAAACTGTTTCAATGTGTTGTTATATGTTTTCAAACTGACTTGCACATGAAAGAGAAGCTTAAATAAATCTCTGAGCATACATTTGGTTCTGCTCCATATTTAGAGGCCAGCTACAGAACAAGTATATCTGACTTCTATGTGTAATTATGCCTAACAGGCAGTTCTAACCGCTCTGTTTATGCTTATGTTGATAGTGTAATTACAGCAAGCCCTGAATCCTATACAGAATCAATCAATCAATCAAAGAACTTATATAGGATATAACACAGTTGTGCAGAATGGCAAATAAGGGCAGCTCCACAACAACATGTTTATAATGCTATGAAAACATGTTTCAAATTGATATACCCTTTGTAGCTGCAGTCTATTTCTAAGAATTAGGAGCACCACAACTGCACTCTATATTCCACAAGTCCACAAAACCAAAACTCCTTTCCCGCTTCCATGACGAGAGCACTTTTTCAACAAATTCAAACCACCCGAGTTATATGGCCAGAGTAGCACAAGTGAGTATTCTCACCTGTCCTGGCATGCTATAAAAGCTTTGAACTGGCACATTTGTTATGGCTGTGGTGCCATGTGATGGAAGAAATGGCTGCAATAGAAAATGGAACCCCAGAGGCTGAGCCCACGGTAGAAAAGCAATTGGATAGCCGAAGTAAGACATGGGGTAGTTTCCATAAGCAGGGCTTTGCATGTGTGGAGTAGAAGGAGGTGTTGAAGCACGGCGTGGGCCTCTTGAAGATTGTAGTCTGGCTCTGTCCGAAGCCGATGCCTTGCGACGAGAGTAGCCACGGTCTGAGCCACGGCCTATGGATTGCTCAGAGTCTTCATTCTGGCGCTGCAAGCGGGGTGCAGCATCTGCTGTCAACATAGTCCTTGCAGCCACTTCATCAACGTTTTTCTGTGAAAAAAAAAAAATAAACATCAACGAAGCATCCATACTGTTTACATGACACCTTAATAAAGGTGACAAAGGCTGCAGAATGTGAGAAAATAAAATTTTGTGCTATGAACTGCATTAATTTTTATACTCCATTGTTTATATTCTCGTTACTCAGTAATATTTAGCAACTAAATCATCACATACTCTTATAGGATTACTCATAGGCATGCGAACAGGGGAGGCACGAATGGGTAGCCACCACTTCCTAGTTTTCAGCCACTGCATTTTGACATTAAAGGCCTCAGTAGGAGGGGGGCGGGGCTGAGAAGCGACCTGGCATCTCCTAATAGATATTGTCACGCGATAAGAGCTGGAAGGAACGTACAAAGAGACGCGACTGTCAAAAATCTCAAGGACAAAGAAGGGCGTCTCCGCTGGCATGGGTTGCTCGTCTTCGTCTTCACCGGCACAGAACTGACCCACTGTTCACTGGCACAGAACACCAGGTGGCATTACTCCTCCTCCCAAGAGAGCATCGACCCAATGCTCAAACAAAAGTGTGCACAGCAGTGGGTCGAAGTAGGTAAGATAAAGAAACATTAAACAAATTAGTGCACGAGAAAAAATGCGTCCTGGGCCCGGCAATCGGAAATAAACGGCATTCACTGTTCACATGAAGAGTTCACTGGCACAAGAAGAAAATTCGCATCAGCGCGTACAGTATGGTTTTAGGCGGACTACGTGTACAGTCTCTGGGCGTGGTAACCTGCGCTGGGATGATGGTGAGCCTCCGCCTGGAACCACTTCGTAGTTCACGTCGCTCACACGTCTGAGTACTTTGTAAGGTCCAAAGTACTTCCTCAAGAGTTTCTCACTGAGACCTCGCCGCCTATTGGGTGTCCAAACCCAAACTTGGTCACCAGGTTCATAACTAA